GGCAAACTTACGTAATCTAATATTTACTTTGTTCTTTCGTTGATTAATTAATTGATTAATTTTTAATTAACTGTTCATGCAGAAACAGAAATTTATTCCAGTGATAAGAAGACATCGTCATGGAAGGGGGACTTCACGATCGAGATAGGGTTGGGGTGCAGGACGCTGTCCTCTTGGAAGACTATCTTAGTGAAGAAGCGTTTGTTAATAATTTAGAAAGACGTTTCAAAGAACATTTAATTTATGTGAGTAATCGATAATACTATCGTTACTATTTTTTTGTCATTGTAGTACCTGACATTATTATATCTTGACGTAATACAATTTAAGATTAGATTGATTATGTAATCCTGAAATAATTCATTTGAGTAGGTACAGATATTTTAAAAATCAATTAAATTAATTAAGGATTACTAAAATGCCCGAATGTTTATTCTAATAAATATTATTACGATTTTTTTTATCACTTTAGACTTATATAGGGCCTGTACTAGTATCAGTTAATCCTTACAAGGATCTGAATATTTATACTTCGGAATACATTAAAGAATACGAAAATAGGAACTTCTTCGAGACATCGCCTCACATGTAAGTATTTATGAATAAAATTGTTTATTAATTTTATTAACTTAATTTAATTGTAATCAATTATAATTTCCTTTTGTAGATTTGCCATTACTGATAACGCTTACAGGTCCTTAAAGCAAGAATTCAGGGAACAATGTATTCTGATTTCAGGTGTGTGACTTAGAATATCATAAAAAATTTAGTTTATCGTTAATTTACAATGCTGAATTCAACCTTGCTGACTTTTTTACTTTTATAGTATTTAATCGTTGTTTGTGTAGTATGATAACGTATATATATCTGGAAAAATAAATGAAAAAAGAATTACTTTAATCAGAAATAGTTCATGAATTGAGTAATACCTCAATATAGCAGCAATTACCTTTCCTAGTATATAATTTCAAGTGTTCCCTTTACTTTACAAGAAAAATAAGAACACATACTAAAAATAATTATTTTATTGACAATATAAAAAAAAACAAAATAGGATTGCAATAATTGTAGGAGAATCTGGTGCTGGTAAAACTGAGGCGTCCAAGAAGATTCTTCAGTATATAGCAGCAGTTACAGAACACAGAGGAGTTGTTGAAAAAGTTAAGGAAAAATTGCTGCAGTCCAATCCTGTATTAGAAGCTTTTGGTAATGCGAAAACTAACAGAAATGACAACTCTAGTCGGTTCGGAAAGTACATGGACATACAGTTTGATTTTCAGGTACCAATAGAAACATTTTTTTATTAAAAAATTAAAAGGAATACTCACCCCTAATTACCACAAATAAATTTTATATGAGCGGACACGTGTTTCGCCCACTTCACACGTGTTACATTTAATTTGTTTTTTTTTTGATGTAGCTTTTTTGTTATTATTGCTATTACAAATTAGCTTTCTCTATTTAAATTTACGTAGTGTTTTACCCACATTTTAAAAGGGTTAATGTACAGTTAACATTTCATATCCTTTTGTACTTATTTTTACAGTAAAAAGGCTTAGAATACAAAACACAAACTACTTGTGTTACTTTTAGTTTTTCTTCAAAGTATTTTTATAGGAAGTTGACTTTTAGCATTAAAATTTTGGTGACTTTCTACGTATTTTAACGTAGAAAAGGGTTGATAAAGTAATTGATTTATTAGTTATTAAGCACTTGCTTTTTTGAGTGTAGGATTTTACATCTATCAAGTTTCCGCAAATTTGCATTTTATATTAAATGCACCTGTTCCTATTGAAACCGTTATCATTTTTACATTATTATACATTGATAATGTTAGAGATTTACGTCTTATCAGTTATGCATAACGTATTCGCTAGAATGATAAAATATTTAAGCATTTGCGGAAAAACTTAAATGAAATATCTGTGCAAGGACATATTGTTTGTAAATTCCTTGAAGAATAAAAAGTACCTATAACATTTAATTGTATCTAAAGGTTTTTGGTCTTTCAATTGCAGTCTTATAAAAGAAAGAAGGGAATTTAGTATTTATTAAATAGAACAAACAGAATAGCTCAAAACTCCAACGCCAAAACACGACACTGTAGTTGTCCGAAGCACTTTTCGGTAACAAAGTTACCTTCTTCAGGTAAACTAGTTTACTTCAGTCCCTGAAGAAGGAAGAAAAGTGCTTCGGACAACTACAGTGTCGTGTTTTGGCGTTGGGGTTTTGAGCTATTCTGTTTGTTCTATAACAACCGCCAAAGTACTTCCAATCTTCATATGTATTTATTAAATAAAAACCTGTTCTTTGCTCTATAATAAGTATTCCTTTCAGTATTTTCTTCATATTATTAAAGAATTTTTTCTGTTACATACAAAACAATAAACGATAACTTTCGGTACCTAATAAAACTATCAGCTCATTTACTCATTTTGTCAAAATACTTTAATCTAACCCATTTTGCCTGTTTTGTGCTTCTAAAGATGATAATACAATGAAATGATTAGCTATTGTAGTCAAATCTAAAAATACACGTTGGTCTTTGACTTATTCCAAATCCAACAAATTTTTATCACACAAATGCCGATAAGCACATAACGAGGCCCTGACAAACACTGATACGAAAAAGAATTGTTTGTCTTTGAAATTATAAAGAATCTGTGTGCCATTTCGAAACATTTTCAGGGTAAAAAGTAATTTGTAATACAATATTTATATACAAAGGCAAACTTACGTAATCTAATATTTACTTTGTTCTTTCGTTGATTAATTAATTGATTAATTTTTAATTAACTGTTCATGCAGAAACAGAAATTTATTCCAGTGATAAGAAGACATCGTCATGGAAGGGGGACTTCACGATCGAGATAGGGTTGGGGTGCAGGACGCTGTCCTCTTGGAAGACTATCTTAGTGAAGAAGCGTTTGTTAATAATTTAGAAAGACGTTTCAAAGAACATTTAATTTATGTGAGTAATCGATAATACTATCGTTACTATTTTTTTGTCATTGTAGTACCTGACATTATTATATCTTGACGTAATACAATTTAAGATTAGATTGATTATGTAATCCTGAAATAATTCATTTGAGTAGGTACAGATATTTTAAAAATCAATTAAATTAATTAAGGATTACTAAAATGCCCGAATGTTTATTCTAATAAATATTATTACGATTTTTTTTATCACTTTAGACTTATATAGGGCCTGTACTAGTATCAGTTAATCCTTACAAGGATCTGAATATTTATACTTCGGAATACATTAAAGAATACGAAAATAGGAACTTCTTCGAGACATCGCCTCACATGTAAGTATTTATGAATAAAATTGTTTATTAATTTTATTAACTTAAT